CTTGTATCGCTCGATAGATCCATCTGCATTGTGTTTTATAGTAAACACCCATCTACATCCGATAGTCTTTTTTCCTCGTGGTATAGTCTCCAATGTCCAAGTCTGATTTTTCTCAAGAGCTTTCATCTCCTCTTTTATAGCTTGGACCCACTTAGGATCTTTCAATGCTTCAGAGGTCTTGGTTGGAATATGGATAGCAGACAACTGGTGCACAAAAGCCTTGAGTGGTTTAGACAGCTTCTCAGTGGATACATGATTTGCAATTGGATACTTGAATGTCTTGCCAATATTAGGTGAATAATGGTTTGGTGGCTTCCCACGATTTTGCCTGAAAGGTAATTGATATCCAATAGTTTTATCCTCTAAATGACGGGACCCGCCCCAAATTTCCCGGAACCCGAGACGAATCCTGTTGAAACACCGATATCACCCCGATGTCGAGCCCACTCACAAGACTGTAACCTCCTTTTTCAAAAAGGAGTAGGGCACGAGACTTTCTGCCAAAATTTCGGCAGAGTCTCCCCTGTAAATTGAACATTCCCCAACTTTCAACCTGCACAAAATTCACATTTTAATATCCGAACGGGCAGCATGCATAAGATAACAACATGCAGTTCACATAAATGGCCTCTGGCCTTCTGATAATCCAAAGCAAACTACCAACCACGCAATAAACATAAAATAACTTCCCCAAGCATCCAACACGCGGGGTTTTAACCTCCTATCACTATCACAAATAGTTTGGGGCCTCAGCCTAAACTGTGCAACAATCCGACAAGGATTTTAAACCTAACTAAATCTAATCCGCTCACTTAGTCCACCGAACAAGCCTCAATTCAACCAAGTTCCCGGACCAACAACGAGGTCCGAACAAATCTCTATATACGAGGCTAAAGTTTAGCTCGCGGCTGCACCTAGTAACTTCAGGCTGCCTACGTACCCTTACTGAGGGATCAAGCCACACATAGTTCTTTCTCTAAAATCTTTTTTCTCTAAAACACAACTCAACAAAACCTCCCCATACGCCGGAACATCCAAAGTCACGTATGGGGCCTGTCTGCACGCCGGATAAACCTACGATACGTGGGACCTCATCACAATATCACATATCTCCCCTCATACGTCGGGACGCACCGGCCATGTATGGGGTCTGTCAACACGCCGGCTACTCCTACAATACGTGTGACCTCAACACAATCACATATCTCCCCTTATATGTCGAGACGCACCGGCCACGTATGGGGTCTGTCAACACGCCGGCTACTCCTATGACACGTGTGACCTCACACAATATTACATATCACCCCTCATACGTCGGGACGCACCGGCCATGTATGGGGTCTGTCAACACGCCGGCTACTCCTATGACACGTGTGACCTCACACAATATTACATATCACCCCTCATACGTCGGGACGCACCCGGCCACGTATCAACATGCCGGCTACTCCTATGACACGTGTGACCTCACATAATATCACATATCACCCCTCATACGTCGGGATGCACCTGACCACGTATGGAGTCTGTAAACACGCTGGCTACTCCTACGACACGTGCGACCTCACACAATGTCACATATCACCCCTCATATGTCGGGACGCACCCGGCCACGTATGGGGTCTATCAACACACCGGCTACTCCTACGACACGTGCGACCTCAACACAATCACATATCACCCCTCATACGTCGGGACATACCCGGCCACGTATGGAGTCTGTCATCACGCCGGCTACTCCTACGACACGTGTGACCTCACACAATATCACATATCACCCCTCATACGTCGGGACGCACCCGGCCACGTATGGGGTCTATCAACACACCGGCTACTCCTACGACACGTGCGACCTCACACAATGTCACATATCACCCCTCATACGTCGGGACGCGCCCGGCCACGTATGGGGTCTGTCATCACGCCGGCTACTCCTACGACACGAGTGACCTCACACAATATCACATATCACCCCTCATACGTCGGGATGCACCCGGCCATGTATGAGGTCTGTCAACATCCGGGGAGGTACATAGGGTAGTGCGTATAACACTCCAAACTGACATTCTATACTCTTTTATACCTTTAAATATACACATAAATATTTATAAATTTCTAATATTGTATACACCTCAACCCCAATATAGCATTCGATAGTCCCCGAATTTAAATCAATGAATTAATATTCTAATCCCACATAACCAACATACAATCAAGACCCGTCACTACGGTCATTTTAATCTTCCTAGGAAGGTAACACTACCTAGGAAGTCTCACGGTCAATCCCGGGGTTAAACTACCCACCCTAGGTCAAACGGGCCCACGACCTCCAAATTTCGATATGAAAGTTCCTATAGGTTCTACAGGGTCTAGGATACATGTCCTGCAAGTTTGGTCCAGATTGGACGGTCGGATCGCTCACGATCGCACGATCGGACAGTCACTGAAACCCTAGCCCCTAGGGTTGGCATTTTCAGAGTATCCGGGACTCCGTTTCTCGATCCGTAGAATCCTGCACGATTCTACGAATACCTAGATCAACATATATTAAATTGGAGTCAATCCAACGGTCCGAACCTATCGTACCCGGATAACCCACAATATGCGTAATCCGTTCGGGTTCAAACGTCAACCGAATTGGAATCCGGAAGAACCCAGGCGCTCATGAAAACCAGGAGATCACATCGGGACCCAAAACCCTTTTTCTACAGTTCCCACGCGCAGCCACACGCGCCAGCAGCGCGTGGGTGTCCAAAGCGATAACCCATCGCCGGAAAAACCCAAAATCACTGCTCAAGACTCCTACCCTAGGTAAAACACCCTATTTGGAGTCACTTTTGTTCTTGGGCATACCCCAAAAACTGATCGGAAGTGACCGGAATCGCTAACTCAAAACCGGTCGAACCCTAACTCAAAAATCAGATAATCTAGGCTCAAAATTAACGAAATCCTACCCATCCATCGGATAGATCATGAGGAAATGATAGATTTCCATACCTGGATCGCCAAAAATGGCTGTCGGACGACAGAGAACGAAGCCGGCGAAGTTTCAGGCGAAACCGAGCTTTTCTCTTCGATTTTCCGGTGAAATC